ATGCGTGTGCCTGTTCACAGGGAGCTCATTTCAGCCGCTTGTTGTATACAGGATTTAAGCTTTCAGTCATGACCAATGTACCCTGCCTGAGATACAACAGTCAAGGGCAGTTCACACAAAACGCTGCTGGCCATTCCAATTCACCAGTCGATCTCTTCCTTCTATTTTCCATCACGAGCAAACACGATGTTGTGATACGTAAAATTCAGATGTTTCGCTGCTTCTTCGTTGCATGCAGAGACTAGTGGACTCGGAGACGAGAAAGCACGCTTTCGTTTTAAACACGTTAAAATTATTTTGAGCATCACGTATTTAGTACAGAATTTTGAGGTTTGCCACAGCAGCAGTATATGGGGACAGAGAACCAATCAGGTAGAAAGACCGCTACTGTATTCCCTATGTTTGGTTTCATTTCTGTACATTTCTTGGCGAAACTGGTTGATGTTCGGCGGAAGCGATGCTTGATTTAGATAGTTTTACTGAGATTGTTCTGGATGATAGGTCTGTCGATCTTGGATAGTTCATAAGACTGAAGTATGGTTGTTGGTAGAATACGTGAACTTTCCGTTGTCACTACGATATTTGTAATGCGGACTCACATTTGTTGATTCTGGATCATGTGTTCGTGGGAAACTTGTTTCTAGTTCATTCTCTCCAGATCCTGTGAAATTATGGCGTACACGAATGGCTGCGAATAAATGAATAATTATTTAAAATTAACTGGTGATCTCTCTATATCATCTCTTTGATTTGGGATATCATGAGGAAATTTACTTAGGTCTGTTGGCATATAGCTTTTTATGTTCTTTGGTCTGCATGCATATTGCCTTACTGATTGAATGTATCTGTGGCATTTGCTCATTATAAAAGAAACTGCGCATAAGGTGACAAAAAATGAATGATAAATTATCAGACATTGTAATTGCAAACGCACTCTCAGCAGGCACTACGCATTAACCGTTTGCTTTTATCGTCTGTAAGAAAATTCTGTAATTTTCAGAATTTTTTGCAGTTTCAATTAATTAATTACAAATATTTAGTTAATTAGTAGCTGTTTTGTTGTAGTCCGATGACGCGGTTAATCCAGACAGAATGTACGACCTTGTCGCTGTTGTGGTGCATTGCGGTAGTACCGTTAACCGAGGTCATTACATAACCATAGTCAAGTCGCAGGGATTTTGGTTGGTTTTTGATGACGACATAGTTGACGTAAGTGCGACCCTCAGTTGTAACTATTTTTTAAGCATCGAGATTTGATAATACTGTAATTCATGCCAATATTGGATTTCAGAAAATTGACTCCATGAACATAGAAGACTTTTTCGGCATGGCAGGAGACAGTGGATTTCAGAAAAATTCAGAATCCGGTTATATACTGTTTTATCAAGCGAGAGATTCTTGAGAGGTTGATCGCCCTTCTTTCTGAACGTGGAGGACGAGCCTTGCTCGCTTAAGCAACTGACCGGTTGTCTGCTAGTCACTGTGGACAGGCGCTGCTGATGTTAAGGTTGGTCTACTGTGAAATCTAGGAGGTTACCATATCCTGAAAGAATGGCTGTGATATGAATGCAAGCGCGCAGACACTTGAAACGGAAAACGGGGCTGTATCACATGTGTGTCTTCAGCCAGATGCGATATATTGTGTTTATCATTAAAAAGTAATTTATTTTTCGTGCTCGCATTTTACAGCTGTTTTGTTTCGTTAGTTTGAAATGAGCAAAGTTCATCACCACTTCCACATAACCCCAAACAAAAAAGCAAATCTTCATCATCTCGGTCATATTCTCGTTTATCCGGTAAAAACGGATGCAGACATCACTACGACAAGCGACTAGCCGTGTACTCCGCGGGAAAACTGAACGAATGGGTATCTGGTGATCCAAAAAATGACAAATAACCAGCGTTCGGAATTACGTTCCATGAAAGTACCAAAGTGACATTTTTGTTTCCTCTAAAATTGCACGAAAAAGTAAAACCAAAATTAATATATGAATGCGTCGTACTTCAGACCGTTACCATCATCCCAAAAGTAGTATTTCGGATGCGCACCTTTGATGTTGATTACAGTGTTGTCATCGCGTAAAACAATCTTATCCCAAATAACGACCTGGTTCATTTTCTGAAAAAAGTAAGTAGATTTTCAAACGGTGATCACTCGAATAACAAGAAGTACGAGGATGAAAACTATAAAACGATTTATTCATACAAACACAAGCAAACTGGCCAATCGGGTAATTAACCAGTACCGGCACGTGTCTTACGGACCTTAAGAGTGGAGAGGGCAGATTTGAGCAGTTGGTTCTGTGGCTTGCAGCTGTTGTTAAGTTTGGAACCAAATAGCAAGTAAGCTTTTTATTCGTGGAACGTTTTGGAAACTTTGTTTCCAACGATTTTTTGAAGATAACGTTGACGATATTTTTGCAATCTGTCCCAGTATAATGAAAATAAGGTGCTAAACCTCAATAGCTTCTTCTCTTAAAATATAGAGCTAACTACTGAAAAGGAAAACAACTAAGTCTACCCTTTCCCGATGTCTTAATAATTAACTCTGGTAGTTCTTATAAAACTAAAGTTTATCGCAAAATCTACTAACTCAATCATCTAAATAACAAAAAATATGTAATTATAACTTTAATAGGCAGAGCCTTTTAACTATTATAATGAATTTCTCACAAAAGATATTAAACATTAAGAAAAGTTAATACGATAATCATACGGTTAAGTTCGTCAATAAAACCATAGATCGTAAAATTAGTTATTTTAAATCTGCCTGCAATACC